CTCTAAACTTTTCGGCTAGGTGGCTGGTATTAAAAAAGAAAAACACTTAAATTCCAGTTTATAGGCAGATTTAATAGGGGAGCGTGACGGAATTATTTTTTAAATGAACATGTGTGCTGTGCTACTGTCATATTTCATTTTAGAAACCAAATTCTTAGAAGCAAACCAAAATTGTTATTCAAATTCTGAGATTCAAGTCACGATATTTTTCACAAAATCTTGTTTGATGTTCAAGTGGCTTGACATCATTAAAAATGTATGTAATTTGCTTTCGGATTTTCAATCCGTAGGTACATAACTGTGAATTTTTTATTATGCAATTGTTTAAGTTTTTCGTTATGTTTTTGTAAAAAGCAATTAATTTGAGAGATAATTTTAAAGTTCAAACATTAAAAAAATATTGGGAAATCCAATTGTGCATGTCTTAAAAGCATTAAAAACTTACGTATAACATTATTATACCTTAATTTTTTAAAGTACTTTAAATACATACAAGTTTTCACTGATAACCTTATGACTATACTTCCGATTTTCCGATAATTTTATATCAAATTTCAATTAAAAATAAGTATGGAAAATACAAAAGTGCACGACGAAAGGACACCATGAAAATGTGAATTGTAGTTATATTTGTTAAAGATTTCCAGTAGCTGTCACCGAAATACACATTCTAGTCACTGTCAGGTCCGGTAGTAAGGTCTATTCATAACTAACAAAAGGAGCCCAAACTCTGCACATTTGCTTCTCCTCGTCGAGGAGTTCCAGTAGCATTCATCGAAGTACACTTTCAGGTCACTCTCAACTCCGGAGGCTGAGGCGGCTTAAATGTCGACTGCGCCATAGGCTAGCCTAGCACCTCATCTGCGCCCCTCTAGGGGCCATATTATATCTATTCTAAATTAAATCTACTCATTTTGCAAATTAACTATATTATAATTTATAATATTATAGTTTGATAATTGCAAAATAATTAGGATTCGAGTACCATTTACAGGGGGGGGGGGGTTTATAAATAAAAAATGCGATGGGAGAGTATGAGCGATTTAGGAGAAATCAAATACGACGATATCAACTATACGACAACTGCAGCTCAGAACGTTTTTACCTACAAAAACCATGACCGATCGATGTTAGTATTCCCCTGTTTTCTCATCCAAAACAAAGCTGATTAAATTATTTTTGGTATGAAAATTTACAGGGAGAATAGATTTAAGCTCTTATTGGCTTGATTTTATCTTAAAGTTTTTTCAAATTTCTTTGGTAGTTGTCTGATTATGGAGGTAAAAACGGGGCATTTTTTTAGGTTTGTGGAAAGTCATATTTATTTTTGTAATAATTTTTTGGAAAAAAGTAAATGACAGGGCCATACCTTTAATAGACCTTAATTTAAAAAAAAACAATTACTCTAGAGGCATTATCCAGGAAGAGGATAGGGGAATACATTTGTATGGAAAAATGCAGCCCGTCTACGCTCTTAAGGATAATCCGCCACTGTCCGGAGGTAAGTCCTTATCGTAACTGACAAAACGAGACCAATCTCAGCACACCTATTACTATTACTACACTTCGAGGATTTCTAGTAGCATTCACCGAAATACACTTTCAAGTCACTCCGTCAAGTCCGGAGGTAAGGTCTCACCATAACATAACGAGCACAATTTCGGCACACCTAGTTTGACTCATCGAGGAGTTCCAGTGACAGATATCGAAGTACACCTTTAGGTTTCCATAAACTCAAAGACGTATAAGTATTTTTATATTTAAATCATGAGAACTTTTAGCGAAACAAAATATTGTAATAAAAATCTGTGATTATGAAAATAATAATAATATCTTACAATCAAACTTACAAATACTATCTTACTTAAAGAACATAGGCCTCCTCCAAGGAATGCCACAAAGCACGGTCCTGAGCCACCTGCATCCATCGACTTCCTGCATATCTTACCAGGTCGTCACTCCATCTAGTGGGGGGACGATCAACACTTCGCCTGCCGGTACGAGGCTGCCACTCAAGAACCTTTTTTCCCCATCGGTTGTCGGTTCTTTCTAATGCGGATATCCTCTTTTCTGAGTTTATCACGCAGAGAAACTCCGAGCATAGCCCTCTCCATACCTCGCTGAGCACCTTGAGCTTCCTCATCCGGCCAGCAGTGAAGGACCACGTCTCAGTTCCGTATGTCATCACTGGCAAAACGCAGTGGTTGTACAGTCTCGTTTTCAAGTTTTGAGGTATACCTGACAAGAAGATGTGCCGTAATTTCCCGAACGCTGCCCAACCGAGTTGAATCCGTCGATTGACCTCTCGGTCGAAGTTAGACTTACCTAGTCGGACTATTTGTCCTAGGTAAACATACTCGTCAACAACTTTTTTTCGTGGGTAGGTGTGCAACAAGTAACAGCTGTCTAATTTGCTCTTATATTTTATTTACATTTAAATTATTTTAAAGTAGTGTTTGGACTATATTTACATACTAATTACATTTTTATTACCTTTTCTTTGGAAGTCATATTGAAATACATGTTCAGATAAAAATATTTGTGACTTACTCATACCACCCATCAGTGTAACTTCTTTTTGCAAACTATATCACTCACTGGCACTTCACTGATATCACTTGAAATATTGCAAGCAATGGCAAAAGTATCTGATGTGGAGGTCTTGCAGAGAGAACTTGAAGGAAGCTGGAGTCGCAAGATGGCTGATTTTGAAAACAGATTAAAGGCTGCTTCTACACCAAGTAATACCTCTCTTAATCAACTCCGTGAGGAGTTTTATGAATTCAAAGACATTGTTAGCTCTGTACTCACTCTCCTTCGGCAACAGATTCATGCCTGCACTATGACAATTGATAGTATTGATATGCAGCATAGGCAGAACATTCTCTTATTTAATGGGATCTCTGATTCTCCTGAACTTAATATTAAACAAGAAATACTGGGCATCATACATAATAAAATGGGTATCCCACATGTAACAAATTTATCCTTTTTACGTTCTCATCGAATTGGTGTTCAAAAGGATGGTCATTCACGGCCAATTCTTGTACAATTTCAAGATCACCGCACAAAGTCTGAGGTGTGGAAAGCTAGAACTAAGTTAAAGGGCTCCCAAATATCGGTGTCAGAGTTTTTAACCAAAATGAGGCAATCTGTTCATAAAAAAGCATGCAAACATTTTGGATTGAAGAATGTGTGGACCTTCAATGGCACAATTTTTATAAAACTCCCCAATAACGAACGGGCAAAGATCTCCACTGAAGAGGAGATTGATAATCTCATTGGAAAGTTTCCTGGTGATTGCTCACCAGTTAGTCATGGCATAGCTTCTAATAGTGGCGTTACTAATGTTGCAAAGAAGCCCATTCAAAGCCAGCAAAGTTCTTCAAGCTCAAAAAGTCAGTGTGAGATTTCTCGGCGCAATCAAGATGGTATGGTGGGGCAGAAAGAGGATCCTAAAAGGTCCCGCCGTTTAATAGCTAAAAAGTAGCTTATTTAAATTATCTTGTTATATTCTTAGGTATCCTTTAATTTTTTTATATTTAATATTAAGTACATTTCATGGTTCTGATTTCAACTTTAGCATAGAACACTATTATGCCTATACTTTTGAGTAGTTCGCTTGTAATAGCTGTTTTATTGCAATTTTTTTTTTAATTTCTTTTCCTTGTAAAATAAACTCCTTTGGAATGTTTGTCCTTGTAAATCAAGATAGAATTTAATCATGTTTCATGTCTAGTATATCACTTGCTTATGCTTAGTTTTCTCTTTAGTTAGTTAGTAGAGGAGTCTTACTTATTTAGTAGGTTTATCTATGCTATGCATGTTAATGGTAATAATCTAATTACAATCATCTTTATAATTTGTGCTAACAATACTTATTGTTTTTTACTTTTATAAATGTACCCTAAATTGACCGTAAAAACTATACATAATATTTTTTTTTTCTCTTTCTTGGCCTGCACGGTTTGTGCGTCAGCCATGCAAAAAGGTTAGGAAGTAAGATTTATTTTATTGAATTGGAAATTGGAACGGAATTTGGAAAAGGATCAGGTAAATTTAGTATATAAGTACATAAATGATTATAATTTTATATTGTTATGAAAAATGAAACTGGCTAAAATTCTATATACATCAATATTTACATAAGATAAAAGGACAGAAATTGAAGTAGGAAAAGGAATTTTAATGGACAAAAGCGAGGAAATAAAAGCGGAACGGTCATGTCGAGGACAAGCAAAGAATATATGGTTAAAATCCCCAACGTCATTGCCACACTCACATATATCGCTAGGCAAAAGTTTAAGTCGTGCCAAATGCAAGGGAATGCATGCATGGCCCAGCCTCATACGAATAAGGGTCGAAGTGATAGCTTTACCAAACGTCAGATTTGAAAACCACGGTTTAGGAGGTATATCCACCTGGATCGTGCTATAATATCGACCTATAGTCTGACTTGAAGAACGCCAAATATGTGTCCAAGAATTCAATAACTGGGATTTAGGAAGGAGAGCCAAATCACAACAAAAGTTTTTGTACGGAACTAGATCTCCGTCATTGACTGCAGCTTTGGCAAGGCTATCGGCCTTGGTATTGCCAAAGATACCTGAGTGCCCCGGAATCCAAGCAAAAGAAACTGTGTAATTTTTGATGCAACATTGATACAATAAATCACGACATGCAATAATAACTGGATGATTATTTCTGTTACTGCTAAAAGGAAATCTTTCCAAGGCTTGGAGGGCACTTTTAGCATCGGTAAAAATTATTGAGTTTTTTAACTTCATGATTAAAATGTACTCCAGAGACTTCAACAGACCAAAACATTCTCCAGTAAATACTGAAGTCTCTGGAGGCAATTTTATTTTCTGTACAATGCCAAACTGTTGATGGAAAACGCCAACTCCCACACACTTCTCGGAACCGGGTTTGGAAGAATCACTAAAAATTAAATGGCAATGTTTCCATCGGCTGTCACTGTCAACAATATTAATAAATTTGGCGTTGGCAGAAGGATCTTGTTTACATACACCGAAATCAAACAAAATAGATGGTTTTAAAATTAAGGCATCATAGTTAACACAAAATATAGGAAGGAATTGTGATCTATGTGTTGAAGCTTGAAGAGCTAAGAATTTTTGGAGACTAACAATAAGGCATGGCGGCGATTTATGAGCCCAGTACGGATAGTCCATACATTCCAACAGAGACCGTAACTTAGAGTAAAGAGGATGATTATAGACTTGGAATGCTCTAAACAGGAACCTGTCACAAAGAAATTGTCGTCTGAGATGCAGGGGCGCTTCAGAACATTCAACCTGCAAAGCGTTAATAGGGCTCGAACGCATAGCCCCAGCAATTATTCTCAGAGCCTTAGACTGGATAATGTCTAACTTATGGAGAGCTACTGCATTACAGGGTTCAAGAATAAATGTTCCATAGTCTAAAATACTCCTTATTAGGGCATTATATAGAAGCTTTAGAGAGAAAGGGTGGGCTCCCCACCAAACTCCAGAGAGGCAGCGCAGTATATTTAGAATCTTCTCACATTTGGCACTTATATAGTAGCAATGAGGGATGCCTGTAAGTCTCGAGTCTAAAATTACTCCAAGAAATGTTGCTTCGCTTTTAACGGGAACTCTAATGTTATTATAAAGTACAGACACTGGAGGAGGAAACCTCATACGTGAAAATAAGACTATACTACTTTTAGAAACTGAAAGGCTGAGACAGTTATTGTCAAGCCAAACTTTTAGTAACTTAAGGGAATATGTCATAGTATCAGACATGTTGTGAACAGAATCACCAGAGACATAGAGGAGTAAATCATCTGCATATTGGAGTGTGCTAACTTTACCCTTAAGGGAGGCTTCCAGATCATGAGAATATATATTGTAAATTAAGGGACTTAAACTGAGCCCTGGGGTATACCTTTCCAGGCAATACGGGATTGGTAAGAGTCTTCTGATATTACTTTAAGCATTCTACCAGAGAGAAGATTGATTGTGAATCTTATAAAAATTTGTGGGATATCCAAATTAATCATTTTTTGTTTCAGAATTGAAAGGTTGACATTATCATAGGCTGCAGATACATCTAAAAATGCTGCTAACACAGAGTTATTGTACGAAAATGCCAATCTTAAGTCTGTCATAAAAATGCTGAGACTATCCATTGTACTCCTACTTTTCCTAAATCCAAACTGGTTTGGAGATAGTAACCCCTTACTCTCAATAAACCATTCTAACCTATTTTTAACTAAATGTTCGGAAATTTTGGAAATAACTGAAGCTAATGCAATTGGTCTGTAAGATGATGGATCATTAATCGGTTTGTCGGGCTTATGTATTGGGATAACTTCATGGATTTTCCATGATGGAGGAATATTACCTGTTGTTAAAATTGAATTAATTAAACTAAGAAAATAAGAAAGGCAGGAGTCGTTCAGGTTTTGAAGAAAAGAATATGGGATTCCATCACAACCTGGGGCTGAGTCCCTAAGTTTTGAAAGAACCCCTTTGAGTTCTGAAAGGCTAAAGGAAATGAATGAATCGCTACTATCATGCTGGGAGAGGAGAGAAGACTGTAGGTCAGAAGAAATATTATCTATAGATGGGACAAATGGTGGAGCTAATTTGTCAAGAAACAAATCAACTGTACTGCTATCCATAAAAGGAGACCTTGGAGGCTTAAAAGCGGATCTGAATCTACGAATATTTTGCCAAACTTCAGATGGAGAAATGTCTGGTGAAATTGAGGCACAAAAAGATTTCCAGCCATTGAATCTTTTTTGTTTTAATAATTTACGTGTTTTAGTTATAAGATTACAAAGAATATTAAAGTTTTGTGTTGTAGAATTTTTTCTGTAATTTTTTTCAGCTATCTTTCTCTCAGCTATCGCAGCAGAACACTCACTGTCCCACCAAGGAGGTGATGGAATATACCCATTGCCACTATTATTTTTTATAGGAAAAACTTCCTCAGCAGCCTGTAGTAGGGCCCGTGTAAAAGCTTCAGCACAAAGATGATTATTGTTGTCATTTAGTGGAGGTATAGTTGATAAATTTTGTTGAACTTTATCTCTAAATAATGACCAGTTGGCATCCTTAAGTTTATATTTTAGCCGGGGAGAAGCCTTAGACATCTTTTCACCAATTTTTTGAGGAAATGATATAATTAACGGAAAGTGATCGCTTCCATATGACGACGATAGAGGCCACCAGTTTAATGTAGGAGCTAGGGAGGGGCTACACAGGGTAAGGTCTGGTGCACTAATACCCTCATGGGGCCGAGTCCTTCTAGTAGGACAACCAGAGTTTAGAAGGCATAAATTATTATCATCTAAGATGTCTAAGATTCTAGCCCCATAATGATCAGACTTAGAACTTCCCCACATAGAATGTTGTGCATTGAAGTCTCCCATGACCAATATAGGGCGTGGGAGGGAAGATAGAATGCTACGAATATCGTCAAAGACTTCAGTGGAAGGGTGAGGTATATACATATTTACAAAACAAATATTATTTACACTAACAGCAATAATTGAAAATTTATTACTGTGATTAGGTATGGGTATGTGGACAAAGGGCACACCGCCCTTCAGAATTAGTGCAACTCCACCATACCCATCTGTTCTGTCTTCTCTAAGACAGATATGTCCTGGAATTCTAAAGTTGAATCCGGGACGAAGCCAAGTCTCTTGAAGAGAGACTGCAAATGGTTTGTAACTATTCAATAAGAAAATTAGGTCACTTTTTTTGCTATTAATACTCCGGCAATTCCATTGAATCACCAGAGACTGGTTTCGTGGATGGTCCTGACTGTCCATGAGTTAAAAAACTTTTTGAAGAAGCGGCATCGTTGGACGGTATTTTAATTAGGTTAGATTGTGAAAGGTACTGAATTATAGAAATGATGAGATCCTTTGTTATTATTTCTGATAGATCTTTGTAATTTTTGAGACAACCTGTAGAAAAGGAAGGAATGTTGCTGTAATCTTGGATAAGCTCTGCATGCGCTTTTTGATCATATCCCTTACTATTATTTCTGGGACGAGCTTTGGGTTTCGAGAATACTGTTTTCCTATATGACTGTGTGTGACTCTTAGAAGGGCTTGTTGAATTATAGGGGCTGGAATAAGTAATAGTTCGACCAGAAGGGGCCAATGAAGCAGAAGCAACAACGTCAGCATAAGATTTCGAAACTGGTGGATGGACTTTACTGGCTTCTGAATAAGATATAGAGTTTCTAGCCATTGTTTCTTTTATAGCTTTTTGCCTAGCGTATTCCGGACACTTTTTGTCTGTGGCGAAATGGGAACCAGAACATAAGATACACACAGCATCATCTCTTTCAGTCTCGCAGCTTATACCTGAATGGTTGTCTCCACATTTGTAACACCTTGGAGAGCCTCTGCATTGCATTTTGGTGTGACCAAAACGGCAGCAATTAAAGCATTGCAGTGTGGGATAAATATAAAGCTCTACAGATAGCGAGTTGAAACATATAAAGATACTGGGAGGTAGCACCTTCCCATCAAAGGTTAAAACTACGGTCTCAGTTGGGATGAACTTGGGCGTTTCGCCGTCATATACCTTTCTGTTTAATCTCCGAACTTTCAAAATACTTCCACAGTTCTGCGGAAGGTCAATATTTTCCATTATATCTTTCTCATCCCAGTCACATGGAACACCTCTCACTATTCCCATGCGGGTGATAGTGAAGGCTGGAATAAATGCTTTGTATTTATTAACATCAAGAGATTTGTGATTTAGAAATGTGTTAGCATCCTGAAATGTTTCAAATTGTAAAGACAATCTGTTTCTTCCAATTTTTTTGATGCTTCCCTCTACAATGCTTTTTATTAAATTTTTTTTAAGGAAAAATCCAAATTGTACTGGGTGAATAGATCCAGTTTGATTTGGTTGTAAGATTTTTTGGACATGGACAACATAAGGCGCAGGATCTGACGCCTGGTAAAGCGACCTAGCAGCGCGAGGGTTACTTGTAATATTGTTAGAGTGAGTGGCATCATTATGGTGAATTTCAGTGTTTTTATCATCAGAATCAAGCAATTTAGTAATAACATTATCCTTTAAATCGTTAGGGGAAAGTTGGCAATCTGATAGACCCGTTTGTCTGTGATTCCTTCTCTTCTTTTGGTTTCTAGCTGAAATTCTCTTTCTTTTCACCGATTTCGTGTTTTCCGAACAGTCTGTATCTATAATTGAACCTTCCGTTTCCATTCCCGACGCATCGATTGTGACTACATGAGACACCTGGAGGGATGTCCCTCCAGGGTCTTCGGGCTCCAACATGGACGCCAAGAGAAAAATCCTATTTACATATAATACAATGAAATGACTTACCAGATGAAGAAATCAAACTAAAACAATAAATAATCAACAATAACTACTAATATATATACTTTACAACTTAACTGATCCTGTAATATCAATTTAATTTAATTTTCAAAAGTTTAGCCAAAAAAGGACGCCCGCCTACTTCAAAACTTCCCGCGCTTTTTTCTACATAATATTTTCCATTTGATTTATTATTTTGACATTATTTTTTTTTAGCCTTGCTAGACAAAGGACAAATGTACCATACAGCCACTATCGATTTTGTACTTTAATTTTGTAATCGATTTATTATGGTAGACTCTTATTATTTTGTGAGATACCTATTTAGGAATATTAATATTATTAGACAAAATATTTTGCCACTTCAGATATTATATTTTATAGTTTGCACATAAAATTTATTTATATTAAGTTTACTTTGTAAACGGTTAACTGATGGGATGGTGTTGTTTATGTTTACTACGTTTTAGCATATAAATTAGTTTTATAGTTTACATTCCTCACTTTTATATTTTATATATAATTTTGTTTAGTTTTTTTTGTATATTTATTTTATTTATGTATTATCTTAGTCTATGAATTATGTCTGATTTTGAGTCATTTAGCTCTGCAAATGATTCTTCTGCCATATCATTTTACTCTTGTGATGATTCCTTTACCGACAGTGTGCTTGAATTACACCAACTACTCAAAGAGGTTTTTAAGCCTTTTAACAACTCTCTGAACATATGTCACATAAACGCTCAAAGTATCCCGAACCACTACACCGAACTCGAAGCTTCATTTTCACCCGAGCATATTCATGCCATATTAGTGTCGGAAAGTTGGCTAAAGCCTTCTTTACCGTCAACTTTATATCCCCTACCCGGCTTTGTACTTGTTAGGAATGATCGGGTTGGAAAAGGTGGAGGTGGTGTAGCCATTTACCTACACGCATCAATTCCTCATAAAATTGTTTCAGCATCTCCTTCCTGTTACTCTGCCTCTTCTGAGTTTTTATTTTTGGAACTTGATGTCAAGGGTATAAGGACGCTTCTAGGGGTAGTGTATTGCCCCCCTTCGACAGATTACTTCGCCACTTTAGATATGGCTCTTGTTGATATTTGTTCTGAGTACGCACACTGTATAATCATGGGTGACTTCAATACAGATTTGTTGAAAAACTCTCCTCGTTCCAAAAAACTTCTTTCAATTGTTGAGTCGGTTAATCTTTCTATTCTCCCTTTAAAGGCTACTCATCACAATATTGGAACCGATGACTCATTGATTGATCTCATCCTTGCTGCTTCTCCTGATCGTGTGATGACGCACGGACAGTTACCTGCTTTGGGCATCTCACGTCATGACTTGATTTATTCTTCGTATAAGCTAAAACCTCCCAAATATTCCCCTTCTGTACTGCATCTGCGCAGTTTTTCTAAAATAGATTTTGACAAGCTAAGGGATGACGCTCTTAGTCTGGATCTAACCTCATTTATTGCAGCACCTACTGTTGACGATAAAGTCTCTATCCTTAACCAAAATATTCTCAGCCTTTATGATGCTCATGCCCCAATTCACAAGGTTAGATTGAAGCGTCCTCCAGCCCCATGGATGACAGAGGGCGTAAGGATGGCAATGACTAGACGTAATCGAGCTTTTCTTCGTTTTAAGAGAGAACGTAATGAAGAAAATTGGTCATCTTTTAAAGCAGCCAGGAATAGGTGCAATCAAATGGTACGGGCAGCTAAACGCCGATATTTCCATAATTGTATTAACAACTCTTCTCCCGCCGAAGTGTGGAAATTTCTTAGATCTTCTGGTCTTTGCAGGCCAGCTACATTGGATTGTGGTCCTTCTCTATCATTTGATGAAATCAACCAACATTTTGCTTCTGTAACAGCAATGGACCCTACAATTCGCTCTCAAACTGTGGCTTCTATTGCTTCTGTGTAAATTCCTAATATACCTACCTTTAATTTCTCTCCTGTTTCGCAGGATGATGTCAAAAAGTCTATTTTAGCAATTCAGTCCAAGGCGGTGGGTTATGATGAGATTAGTAGACAAATGGTAGTATTTATACTAGAGCACCTTCTTCCGGCAATTTCCCATGTTATAAATTTTTCCCTTGATTCAGGTCAGTACCCTAATCTTTGGAAAAGGGCTTTTATAAGGCCCCTTCCAAAAGTTCCTTCTCCCATTCTTCCCAATCATTTTCGCCCTATATCCATTCTACCCTTTCTATCCAAAATTTTAGAATCCTGTGTTTACAAGCAAATTTCTACATTCATTTCGAAACATAACCTACTGAGTATATATCAGTCTGGGTTTCGCCCTGGTCATAGTACCAGTACTGCTTTAATTAACGTCACAGACGATATTAGAAACGGTATGGAAGAAAAAAAAAGTAACAGTACTGGTACTAGTTGATTTCTCAAATGCTTTCAACACAGTTGATCATGAAATCCTTCTATCCATACTGTCTCATCTAAATTTTGGCCCTACAGCATTGGAATGGTTTGCATCTTATCTTCGCGGTCGACAGCAGTCAGTCTGTGTGGGGCAAATAACCTCAGCTTGGGCTGATGTGGAAGCTGGTGTACCGCAAGGCGGTATTCTTTCTCCTATAATTTTTTCTATTTTTATAAACTTTATTACCTCCATCTTCGATTGCTCGTACCATCTGTATGCCGATGACCTTCAGCTATACGTGCAAGCTGAAATTGGGGATATCCATAATGGGATTAAAAAATTAAATAACAACTTACAAGCTATCAAGGATTGGTCTACTCGTTATGGAGTATTGGTCAATCCTTCAAAATGCCAAGCTATACTGGTGGGTAGCTCAAGGATGCTAGCCAAGATTAATCTTGCAGACATACCCTCTATCTACTACAATGGGATTACAATACCGTTCAGTAAGTCTGTAAAAAATCTTGGCCCACACATTGACAACACGCTGAATTGGAGAACTCAGGTTACTGAAGTCAGTCGTAAAGTCACTGCTACGTTACGTACTCTGTATCGTTTAAAACATTTTCTCCCCACAAAGTCTAAGATCATGCTTGTCCAATCACTCATA